AATAAGGGGTAGGGGAAATAACATTTTGTCAATTGAAATACCTATGCTATTTTTTTTTTAACTGTGGCAGTCGACAGATCGAAACCGCAATGTTTAAAATAAATACATTTCTCTTCCTTAATGATGTCCAGAAACATCTAAATAAGTAACATTCTATTGTCTCTTCATCTATAAATTATCAAATCAATTATATCTTCATATTTAAACAGATTGGCCTATTAACGATCCTTGTGTTCCTAACCCGTGTCAGAATAATGGGGGCTGTTATTTGCGCCGACACCGACTTATTGATGGAGTTGAGAGGCACTACTGTGCATGTCCTCGTGGTACTGCTGGACCCAAGTGTGAAATCATCAGTACCGGTATGTATTTTGGTTTTCTTTTCAATATTAAAGTTGTACCTTGTCAGTTCGGGTTTAATTGAAATGCTTAATTTGTTTTTTTTTTTCTTTATTTATTTATTTAATTTTTATTTGTGTATTTTTTCAATTGTGTATTTATTTTTTGTGCTTATTTGTGTACTTTTTTTTTTTTATTTTTTTTTATATTTTTTATTATCATACAATTAAGTCTCCCTGTCACTTAACGAACAGTTGCTGTATATTCTTGTGCATAAAGCCTTCATAGCATGGTAATTTATTAAAGGACATTTTTATTGGTAAAATGTCTGTATACAAAACAATAAATTTTCTTGGCTCTGTTGGTGAATAATATGTGTAGGTGTCGGCTCATGCACATGAGCATTCACATTTCTATCGCAGTTTTTGCTAAAGAAAAAAAAAAGTGCAACCAATCAGAACTCAGAAAGCGAACCGACGCTTTGATTTTCGCAAATAAATGCGCCTAGTGGAAAAACCCAATAGAAATGTGAATGCGCATGCGTATGAACTGACGCTTTCGATTCGCGCGAATAAATTCGCTTAGTGGAATTCTGTTTTCAATCAAAACAGCTTTTAAAAGTATTGATTTTCAACATACCAAATTTTCATTGCGAAAAAATCATCGCAAGCAAGAAAATTTCGTGATTTTTGATCGACCTTTACTTGGTAATCTATCGGCTTCTTTCTACCACAAAATCCTTCCAAAATGAGCATTTTCAAGCCGCCTCGTCCGAACTTTCTTTTCTCTGACTTTGACCCCAAGTGTTTGGTAGGCCTATCGTTGGAAAGATCATCTATTCATGACCTTCTGACAGCATTTTTAATAGAATACTATTGATTCAACCAATTAAATCCGGTTTCTCTAAATGGTTGGGTTACTATGGGGTAAAAAACCATAGCAGTGTGACCAGTGATGCAACATCAAATTATGCCGAGGCTGATGGGAAATTATGCTAAATTATGCCAAATGCTAAGTTTCGAATAAGCGCCAAAAAAAAAACTTTTTTTTTTTTTTTTTTTTTTTTTTTTTTTTTTTTAAGCTGATATATGAAACATGTACTGTTTGCATTGTAGTGATACACAGGTAGGCATTAAAGTAGCCTATCTTATTTTGAGATTATGAAAAAGTAAAACATAGTACAATGTTTTACTTTTCTAATCACCGAGATTTGTACTGCTATTATATTTAGCACCATCGGCCTTAAAAACACAATGTCTATCTTGCTCAGATTATCATTTATATTTTGGAAATTTTGATATTTGAACCATAAGTTTTATTGTGAAGTTTTATTATACAGTATATATTGCCACAATAATAGAATATTAAACAAAATTTAAACACAGATTGACTGAAACGTTTAGTGTGATAGGCCGGTAGGCTTAACTTTTTGTTTTTGGCATTGTTTTATTCATAGCTTTGAACAAGCAAAAATGGAAACCTACAAATGCAATAAGTACCGGTACTTTAAAGAGAATTTATTGACACGAGAGGACCTGGTTTCACATTTGGGGCAGGGGGGCGGTGTAAATTTTTTTTTCACAAAAGAAAGGGATCTTGTCCTGGATCTTTGATTCCTAGAGAGTGGGAAATGAGCTTTCCAGACTTCTCACGCCTATTTATGTGTGTATATATGTAGGCCCCTACATAATTTTGAAAATATTGATCGCCAGATGGCATGAAATTAGCTTTCTTGAAGGTTTTATTTTTAAGGTTTTCCCCCTCTTGAGAACTGTCAGGTAAACTTCTCATTCTTATTACAGTTAATACTTAGGCCTGTCTGTATAAAGTACATCACATACACATTCTTCTTTCCAATAATCGATGAACCACAAAGAGGAAGGAACTCCAAAGAGGAAGGGACCACCCTCCACCCCCCCACAAAAAAACGAAAAAGAAAAAAAAACACAAAAAAACAAAAAAAAAAACAAACAAACAAACAAATACGCCAATGAATTGTGAGAAATAACTAGGTCGGTGACTGCATAAACCTCTCTTTCCCCTGCATTTCTTTCCAATCATACAAAAATTTCCATAGACATTATATATATATAATATATATTTTTGCCACAATGTGGGGTGGGGCGATCAGTCTGAGCAGTAGAGTATCAGTCCGACTATCAGTATCTTAATTTAAAACTCTGTAGTCGGTAGTACACTATTCCCTGAGCACCTGACGGATCGAACGAACGCAAATTTTGCCTCCAACAAGAACAGGACCGGACAGAATTGAGTACCTGGCCAAAACCATTTTAATGTGTGGTAAAAATAAAACCACAGAGAGGCAGCTGCATTGTGCGCATAGCATAGGATTTATTGGATACTCAATCAATGGACGAATTCATTTTTATTATGGTATTGTGGTATTCAGGGTTATTGACGGCTGGTTTAATTCAGATTAAAGTTTTTTTGTTTTTTGTTTTTGTTTTTTGTTTGTTTTTTGTTTGTTTTTTCTTTTGAGGTCAAAATTATGCTATATTATGCTAAATTTTTTATTAAAATTATGCCAGCACATGTGCTAGATGCTAAATGGGTCTAAATTATGCCAAAAAGCATAATTATGCTAGGTCTAGTCACTATGAACCATAGATCTATCAATATGATAGAAAGAATGTGTAAGCGTAATGTACAAAGAATGTGTAAGCATAATTTTTTGCCCTACCTGACGTGGAAATGTACCGAATACTCAGTACATTGGAAAACAACTGCGAAAAAAACCGCAAGTTGTTCTCGGGTGGGACTGGAACCCACGATCTCCAGATCACTAGCCTAGCATCATACCTCTTGACCACCGAGCTTGCGCCTGATGGCCAGGGTTGAATTCGAGTCCAAGTAAGCAGCGGGTACTGCAGTGTTGATAGTAATTGTTATTGTCGTGATGGAATAGACAGTAACTGGATTTACGTCAGGAGAAACATGTATAGGTGTAATTTTTTTGCCCTACCTGACGTGGAAATGTACCGAATACTCAGTACATTTGAAAACAACTGCGAAAAAAACCGCAAGTTGTTCTCGGGTGGGACTCGAACCCACGATCTCCAGATCACTAGCCTGGCATCATGCCTCTAGACCACCAAGCTTGCGCCTGATGGCCAGGGTTGAATTCGAGTCCAAGTAAGCAGCGGGTATTGCAGTGTTGATAGTAATTGTTATTGTCGTGATGGAATAGACAATAACTGGATTTACGTCAGGAGAAACATGTATAGGTGGAATTTTTTGCCCTACCTGACGTGGAAATGTACTGAATACTCAGTACATTTGAAAACAACTGCAAAAAAAAAAAAACCGCAAGTTGTTCTCGGGTGGGACTCGAACCCACGATCTCCAGATCACTAGCCTAGCATCGTACCTCCTAAAAACGTTAAGGGTCTTAGGTCCTTCATTGGTGCTTATAAGGTTATGGCTCGAGTGATTCCCCAATGCGCTAATTCATTCCTTGCCCCACTGGACGATGCCGTTTCCGGACGTCAATCACAAGATGTTTTGGTTTAGTCTACTCCCTTGCGTGAGGCCTTTAAAGATGCTCAGTCTGCTCTTTCCTCAAACAGAACGATCGTCCTTCCCCATCCTGACGATCAGATGTGGGTAGTCACTGATGGCTCAGTTAAGAAGCATGGCTTAGGTGCTACCCTCTATGTTACTAACAATGACAAGCCACGACTGGCTGGGTTTTTTAGCGCTAAATTACGTGCCCAACAAGTAACTTGGTTACCCTGTGAGATAGAAGCACTAGCTATCGCCTTAGCTACTAAATACTTTAGCCC